CTTAAGACACAATGCCTTCTTCCCATTGGTTGTTCACCTTCAGTTGCTATTCTTTCCAATCTGGGGTAAGGCTGCATTTATCCCGCATACCGTTCTAATTAACCATTCTTATTTCCATACCCTTCTTGCATTTTTCACCTTATTTAAATTAGGCTTTCACTTTAGCAGGAGCGTCAATTCCAGGCATACACTACCAGCGCCATTTACGCCTCCACTCATTTGCCCCACCCGTATAGCCCCTATTACCACCGGTCCCGTAAGACAGGTAGCTGGGAGTTTTCGACACCGGGAGGGCTACCAACTACCATCTAACCCTAAAACCTAACTATACCCCTAACCCTAACCCCAACATCATCAGGTGGGGCTACATAACCATATCTTGCCAAAAAAGTCCTAAAAGAAGGCTGCATACGAGGTCTACTGCGAGTTGATGGGAAACATGTCCTCAGTCGAGTAGCTCTTCAAAAGAAGGTCAAGAGGCACACATCGGTTGATATTTAGTTGCAGTGGTGAGGCGCCCCTTCTGGCGAAGGAAAGTTGAGTGGACAGGGCAACGTCAAGGTGTGGGTTGAGTAAAAACTAGGCAAAAAACTTTGAGCGGAGTGCTTACTGATAACCAGTGGGAGCAAATACAAAGCAGCCGCTCAAATGTAACACTTTTCCCCATTTCAGTTCATACGAGAGTAACATGTGATTAAAAGGCCTCCGATATCCTGTTAGCCTCTTGCTGAGAACGTGAGCATCCAGCTTACACGTAAGTGACTAATCAAAATCAACCAGATTTCGGTTTTAGGAGAAAAGATGAACGGTTGCGGGTGATAATATGCACACACACAACATATGGCCTTACCAATGAAATAGGGTTATCTAGTTGAGTAATCAAGGGGACGGCGAAACGAGCAAATATTTGAGGTTTGACCGAGAGGATAGACGCAAAGTAACATGTAATGAAGGATTTTCTAGGAAGGTGCTGTATGGCAACTTTGCAAAACTCTCCAAGGCTAGATGACAGTGCAAAGTGGTGGGCAAAGAAGCCACCAATTTCAACAAAAAGAATTAGCAGGGTTTAAAGCAGGCCTTTTAACTAAACCGGTCCTCATTAAGCTATATACACGGGCTTGACTTTCCAAAATAGATCAAGAGAGAGAGAGGGTTTCGGCCTATCAGTGAGAGTAAAAAGAGACATATGGACTCAGTAATTAATTCTTTAGCCAGCACGACCGATTTGCGGGCTTTCAGTGGCACCCGCTGATAAAGAATTTACAAGGACTACTACTACTACTACTACTACTACTACTACTACTACTACCACCACTACTACTACTACTACTACTACCACTACTACTACTACTACTACTACTACTACTACTACTACTACTACTACTACCACTACTACTACTACTACTACTACTACTACTACTACTACTACTACTACCACTACTACTACTGCTACTACTACTACTACTAGTGCTTCTGCTACTGCCACTACCGCCGCTACTACAGCTCTGAGTCTGGCTGGTTGCGTTTTCGGGAAAAGAGACACGGGGCGCGGAGCAACAAATCAAATTAGAAGCGAGCGCTGTTCTTTTCTCCGCTAGTTTCCAAAACTGGAAGATGACTCCAATCGTGGCCGAAAAAAAGCATTGACACTCGTAGGCGCAGAAGCGCTCCATTTCACGCTCGACTTCCCTCGCACACAAGAAAAAATTACGTCTGACGATCCTGGTGGTAGATAGATGGAGCGAGTAAGAGAGAAAGTGGGATAGAGAGGGAAAACTAATCTCTTGATGGAAATGAAATTATCCCGCATCGAAAAGAGCAAGAGAAGCGGAACGGCGGTGGATATATTCTCCCCCCCCCACCTTCAGTAACAAGGGTGGGGGGACGCGAATTGGCAACAGTCATCCTCTCACCGCGTGAATTTGACATGGAGGAGGAAGAGAACAGCGTTACAAACAGAAGCTGCTGCGGCATAAAAGCCCCTAGACACATTGGTCAGTTCCAACCCCTGGTCAAAGGTCTGGCATCAACCTCAGTTCATTTGTGACGGCGGGAATGTAACGACTTGTACAGCCGCGGTCAGGCGATTACAAAGTCGACGGCGAACACTGTTAGACTGAACCCTCGCGGACAGCAACAAAGAGAAGAGATAGGCACCACAACAGGCTTCTTGAGTATACGCAACGCCCTATGCGTGGGCGAGCGTTCGGCTGTCGACTTGGGCACCTCCGGGGCACGACGGCATTTGGCGTCGGCCGTTTCACGCCTGCGGGACCGAGGCTGGGGGCGCATACACTGCGATCTATGGCCAGATTTCATGCAGCAACACCAGCTGTGATTACGCTGTCTTCCAGTTCACAGGCTCGTACAGGAGGGGGGCTGTAGAAAGCCCCATCCCCCTAGCCCCGGCAACGAGGGAGCTTTTAAAACCCGACCATTTGCACACTAAGCGCGGAAAGCCAGAATCTGACTTCTTGCCGTCAGAACTCCCTGCTTGCTGACCGCAACTCCAAGCAAGGAAACGGGAAATCCGTGGCGTGACATACCCAATTAAAGTAGGACGTCTAAACTGGCGACGCCAAGTGTCGGAGATGGCTCCGTCGTATCCACGCCGGACTGCGCATTCGCGAAAGGGGAGAAGAGGTGTGGGCATCAGTGACAATAGATCGCCCAGCATAATTTATCTTTGTCGCACTGGGGCGGGGGAGTAGGGGAGAGTGCGGCAGATGCTGTGCAAGTCGCCGTACCTGCTCCCACGGAGCGTACAGTGGACATCGCCGAACTGCCGATGGGAGAGGGGAAGAGCTGCGATCGGGATAGTCGCATGCTCGAGCGTTAGATGCCCGTTTGCTGTTGCGGAAATGACCCAGAGTCATTGATATTAAATCGCCAAATGTGCATTTGAGCAGGAGCGCAAATTAAAAACACGGCGCACGTGAAAAGTCACCGCATAAAGTACGCCCTTCCTACTTACTTTCGATGCAAGTGCAAATACAAGTAGCTCTATGAGGCGGCGAGACAATGGGTCTGTGGGTTAATGGTTGGCTCGTTTGACTTAATAACGCTCGATGACCAAACAACGCGAATTAGCTACTATTGAACGGCAAACCCAGGTCTGGATGAGGCTGGCTGACGACGGCTAACAAGCCAGAAACGGCAGTCGCAGTCCTCGCTGTTTTTTTGTCCCAGTTTATGCCTTATTTGAAACATTTTCCTGTCTTCAAGAATAAATTCCTGTATTCTTCTCCATGCGCCTATGAGGAGAATTCTTGGCGACTTACGGACACTGCGTTACTACCCTCGGTCCGCGCTGTTGTCGACTAAAGAGTTCGACTCCAAACCTGGTTCCCCACAGTCCGCAAAAACACGAAAAGTGGTTCTTGGGCTGTCGGCATTCGATCTCCGCCGCTAAGGTGAGTCGAGCTGTCCGGATGGGCTGCCTCGTGGACATCGAGGTCAATCAGCTTGGGCGTGATCACAATCGTGCCCAAATGTACAAGAACATAAAGAACCGCTCCGGACGTGGAGCGAGCAGAATATTTTACAAGCCGTATTAATATGCACATGGGCATTCGGCGACACCAAGTGAAGAGAATATGAGCAGCCCAGGTGCTTGTTTGAAAGAAAACGAAGGCACAGCCAGTGGAACGGATCACGCGCTACGCCCACGCAGCCAGGTGGCGCAGCTCACATCGCCGCGTGGGACAAACGTCGTCACCACGCGGAGGGACCATAGTGGGCCAGGCAGCACGAATCAGATCTATCCACGGACGTAAACCCCCACCCCCTCAAGGTACAACGGCATAAATGTTCATAAGCTGCTGCACTCTAACGGTCTCTGACGATGAACTCCTGTCCGAGTTCAAAAGCGAAGACCAATACGGCTACCGTTCCAGTGATCGTGCCTACGTCTTCTTTTAAACACCCACAATTATTCGCGAGTCTAAAAAGTAACCACTGCTGCAGACTATTGTGCGGCTGAGATGTGTGCAGTGCTTAAATAGGAACGTTTGGAGGTGATGCAAGTTCCTATTAAAAGTACACAGGAAGTGATTCCTTTGCAAACGTCTTGAGAACCAATGGAAAAAGCGCATTACGACATGATCCCGTGACAAGTGTGGTTACCAAACGGTGCCAGAAAAGATTTCAAAAGCAGTTAATTAGGGTGGGGGGTTGAGATGCTACCTGCCAATCAGAAATGCAACTGCACATTTTATGATTTCGGTGGTAAGAGAGTAGGAGGCACAACTCGTATAACCTGCCACTTCGGCCGACGCTATCGCCTACAGGCGGAGAGAGAGAGCGAACAGAATGGCTACGGAGGTAGTGTGTCAGGAGTGGGGGTGGGAAGGAGAATAGGTAGCGTATGTCAGCTGTCAGCAGGCCCTGGAGACTCAGTCGTCAGCTCGAAGGCAGCG